ATCCATGCTGGCCTGCTTTTTTAAATGGGATTTTTTTCCCTCTCTAATGACTGTATGTCATAATGAGTTAGTATCAACTCATTTAAAGAGCTGGAGCGAATCCAAGGAAAATACACAGGACTGCTGCCCTTTTCACCAAGAAAAAAAAAAAAAATCTTTCATTAACTAATGTTGATGGAAGCACATTTAGCCACAGCAATTTGCATGGCAGTTGAATTGCTGTTTGTATTGAACAGCAAACCAGAGAATAATAAAGCAAAACAGGAACATGCCAGTGGTGAGCAAGGGAGCAGGGCAGCCCTTCCACTTTTTCAATGCTGATCGTTCGTTCTAAAGCCGGTAAGACCGGACAACAATAGGATTGCTCATTATAACGAGGTGCGCTAATCACACTGTTGTCACAGCATCTGTCACTTCAGCTGTCCAGAAGTCTCACCTGTATTCTCTCTTCTTGTGGTTGCAGCAGAGTAGTTACTTCTCAGCCATATTTTATCAGCACAGGTTAATAACCCTGTTCATCATCCCAAATGGGTGTACTTGAACAAGGGACCTAACAAGTGAGCAATTGCACAGAGCAGTGATGTAGAGGAGGAGACAGTTTTGGGGATCCAAGTTAAGCAGCAGAGGTAGAGAAGCAGTAGTTAGGGAGGATATGGATATGAAGACATCGGAGGCCTGATCGTTGACATCAGAGAACTCCTAAAGGAAATCAGAGGGATACAAACATGTGCATTTTAAAAAATAACAGTATTAAGGAAGGTACAATTAAGTACCAGTGGTACAAATGAGAGCATGATGTGATATATACACGGCAGGAAGATGGCTCCAGGATTGCAAGGAGAGCAAGGCTGTAGCTATGGCTTTAGACTAAGTAATCTCAAGCAGATCATTTGCCTTCTTGGAACCTCATGTCTTTATTTATTGTCGAATGAAGTGCTCACTGTAAAATAGAACATTCTTGCCAATTCTGAGTTCTCCAAGTTTCCGAATAAAGATAAGAAAGCTCAGTACAGCCACACAACCGGAGACTTTTACAACTGACAGCAATCCAACTAAACCTAATTTAAGTACAAGAAAGAAGGAAAGGAAGGGAGGAAAGGAAGAGAAAGATGGAAGGAAATATGAAAGGAAGGAAGGGGGGAGAGAGAGAGGGAGGGAGGGAGAGAGGAGAGTTAGAAGTTCGAGAGTTATGTGGGCTTCAGGCAAGGGTGGATCTTGTCCTCAACCTACTCTTTCTCTGTCTCTTGGCTCTGCTTTCTTCTTTACCAGCTTTGCTTTTGTACAGGTTCCTTTGGCATAGTAGAAAACATGGCTTTGAAAGCACCAGGCTAATATCAGCTTGTGGCTTCAGAAGGAGAGAAAGTCTACCAATTTTTGCCTGTTGTGGACAGGGTTTGGTCCCTGTGTTGTTAGTGGGCCAGTCTGGAGCCACTTGGGGCTTGAGTTGAAGCCTAGCTGGAGGGGGGCAGCTCCTGTCTGCTGGGCATGCTGTTAGCAAGTTAGGTAGCAAGCATTGGCACCTCGCTGGTTCCGACAGGTGTCCGTGTGTGTCTAGGTTGGGGACTGGGGGAAGGGAAATGGTGCCCACCAGCTCTTTTATTCTTAGAGAAGTCACCCAATGACCCCTGCCCCTCCAGCTCACACTCTGAGATTAGTAAACAAATCTCTTTCCCGTATGTCCCAGGCATTTTTCAGACTGTTGCTTCTCTGCTGTATCTCTGCAAGGCTCTTTGTCGTGCTGTCTCTTTAAGGGTGGAGACTCAGTTCCTCTCACCCTCCTTGCTCTCCCAGAGCCCAGCATGATTATTTTTAAAGTTCCAGGTGTTAAGTGCCACTGATTATAAGAACTCCTGATATTGTGCACTAGGTTTTCAAAGTCAAATGTCACAGGATTCCTCTTCCCTGTGAGGGTTCCCCATGCCTGGGGTGCCCACTGTGAGGCTCAAGGTGTCCCTCCCTCCTGAGGACAGGTGAGGGTCTATTTAGCTCCCAGCAGCATCTCTGCCCTTCTTATCCTCTTCCACGTGGCCTCTTCTCTACATTTAGCTGTGAAACGTCTGTTCTGCCAGTCTTCTGGGTTATTTACACTGATGTGGGCATTATGTAGTTGTAGCCATGGGATGAGGTGAGCTTAGGGTTCTACTCCACCATCTTTCCCAAAAGTCTAGAAGTTCTATATTTTAAATGCCAAGTGTAGGAATCTCTTTGTAGTTTTTTGGGTTTTTTTGGGGTTTTTTGTTGTTGCTGTTCAGCTGTCCAAAATCAAGCATTCCAATTGGTATTAGCTTTGTTGGAAAAGCAGCATAACCTCTATTATATATTTGGAGAAAATTGAGAACATAATTTTTAAATTGCAATAATTATCTGAAGTTCTGAGGGTGACTGAACATCTTTACATTTATAATTTTATTAAATCTGCGAGTTGAGTTTGATTATACAAGAGATCCAATACCCATTATTTATCCGCTATGTTTTAGCTAAGGTGTTTGGTGTTTGCTGTACTAAGTGGAGTTGGAGGAACAAGATCAGTTTTCGTTGGTGGTTGATGGACCCTACTATCCATCACTCCAGGTCCAATGTACCATTAAACAGTGTAATTCACTGCAAGGGGCCTAGCTCAGAGAACCTTCAAATATCCAGAAGTAGTGAATCAAAATGGCCAGGTTCACATAGGGACACAGTAGTGATCTTATATCTTGTGAATATTCAAGAGAGTTGTGTTGAAGACACAACTTACTGAAACTGTTGTTTTTAGCCTGTCTGATACACATTCCTCCTTCTTTTAACAGTTCCCTGATCTTTCATTTAGAAACTATCCTTTCTGTTCTTCATCTAATCCCTTTGGGATTATCAGTGGAAGTGCTCCATCCTTTCCCCTAGCCAAGCAGTAGGCAAGAGATCTAAGTTAGGCTCATTAGCTTTTCTGTTTCTGGAATTTCATCCGGAGTAGAGTCACACAAAGACTAGAGGCACCCAGGATAAAATGCCCATTAATTCATGCTCCTTACATCCCTACTATCCCAGACCAGACTCTCTGTAGAGTCTGGATCTTTTCCCATGCATCTATTAGTTACTCTTATATCCTTCTAATAAATTCTGAATGCTTCTTGTACAGTTAACAAATGGTTGCTGTAAGTTTGCAAGTGCTGGGTACCAAACCATCCCTCAATTCCATGTCTATAGATCATGATTCTGTGAGTTGGGCTTGTCCCTGGGCTCACTGGGCAGTTTGGCCTCTATCGAGCCCCCCTTCTGAGTCATCCAGTCATTCTCAGGCTAGTGGACAGCTATGCTTCTGGGCATTTGCTAGCAGCCAGTTAAGGCAACCTGCAGGATGTTGCAGGTAGGAAGAGTCCTGGGCCCTTGTCATCCAGCAAGTTGTCCTGGGCTTGTTCTATGGTGGTGAGAGAGTTCCAAGTGGAAAAATGAAAATGTGCAAGGCCTCGAACTCTCAGGGCAGATGGGCACAGATTCTGCTGTATTCTATTTAGCCAATAAAGTCAGGAGGCCCGCCCAGATGTGAGGTGTAGAAAGTAGATGCGTGTGGCCTCCTCATGGTACCAGCTGCAGTGTCCCAATGCACATGAGTAAGGATTCAGGATGAGGAATTTTTGAAGGCACTTAAACAATCTGCCACCCCCCAAGTTGGTTTCTGTATAGCTAGAGAACCTGCTATGCCAACCAAAGACCGCTTTAAAAATGCCGCCTAATGCCTTGGCTTTCTCCTCACTTTATTGACCCAACTCTGATTAGGGAAGGTTTGGGAGCCAAAGACAGCTCCTATCTGGGATGCAGAGCAAAAATCACCTGTTCTCCTGAATCCCAGTACATTGTGTCTTGAGGGGATTGTTTGCAGCTCCTCTGTAGCTGAATTAGCCATGCAATCTCCCCATCAGTTATACCAGCTGCCAGGTCTCCTGAAGTTTCAGTGTATTGCCTGCTCATTTATGACAGATAGCACTGTGACTTGACTACTCACTGTAGTATTGCTTCCTGCTGTATGTAGTACAACACTTGCTAAAAACATTTGCACTTGCCTTTCTGAGATACATATTGAATTTCTGTAAGTTATATTTTCCTTTTATGCAGCACGGCCTCTTGGTAAGCTATATCAATCACAGAGCAAGACAAATGCTCATGTTAATGTGCACTGCTGTAGGTGTTTCTTGCCTGTTTTCATCCAACTTCTGACTCAGCCCAGCCCTCTTTCGGTTTGGGAGATCTAATGAGATCATAGCACAGGGCGGTCTAGCTGCAGGCAGAAAATTCTGCTTGCCAAATGTATTTTCCTTTAGAGTGAGTTTGTAAATTAATGTAGAGCACTGAGATAGCATGGCTGTATGCATGCATTTAGACAGAACTGTCTTCAGTTGACTACCTTCCCTTCCAGCCACTCATCTCTCTGAGATAATGCCAAGTGCTTGGTCAGATGTAGCTCCAGTGCTTCCCGCCTTCTGAGAGTGAAATGATAATTAATACGACTTTACAGTTAAGGTGGTGTTCTACTTCCATTAATAACACCCATTATTCCAGGATGTTTTAATTTGGTTATAAAAATTGACTCTGGAGGTGGAACGTGGCTTGGGAGCTTATTTTAAGAGCAAATGGTTTGTTTCTAATTTTTCATTAAAAAGAAAAATAAGCTTTTTTTTAAAAGAAAATTTTGTGTTACTTCAGAGTTATATAAACAGTGGGCCAAATTCCTGAAATATTGATATGATTTTGGATTTGTAAATTGGTTGGCTTTCTTCTCTGGTACCTCCACCAGAGTCCAGACCTCCCAGGGCTTCTCAGCTAGCTCGATTAGCAGAGTCCAGAGCTCTGCCCCATCTCATCAGTTAGGATCAAAGGGCTTTTCTTTTACATTCCTTTTCACACTTAAACATCAAATCCTCTTTCCAGGCATCAGTTTTTACAAGCTCCTGACTGAATTTGGTTTGATACTAAGAGGCAACTCATTTTCACATTATCTTGATGGGCATTTTGCTTTCTTCTTACAGATCTCCTGGAGGAGACCCACAGAAAAGATGAAGAAATGGAATCTCTGCAGGTAAAGTAAATTCTCCAATAGGACAGGTATCCTTGGGATAAAAACATTTGTTTTTACTCTGTTAGCCTTTATTATTGCCACATTCAGACCACTGACAAATGGAGTGAAAAACATGTCAGAATTTTAAAGCCCCAATTTAGAATTTGCTTCCTTTTAGAAGTGTGTGAGAATATTTATAATCTCCTAAAGTGGGAAGCCAAGTCAGCCCCTGTGCTGCTCTTGAAAGGAACCTTTATACCTTGGTATAGCTTACTAGGAACCACAGCATTAAGAAATGAAAGCAACGTCTTTGCAAAGTCATTTCACCAAAAAACAGGGCTGATGAATGAGGATGAATTCATGGAACCTACATTTCGAGTGAAAGTCAAGGGTATTCTGACTCCATGAATGTCATCTACCAGTGACCAACCAAGAATATTAACACATACATGGAGCTTAAGACTTTACCTTCTGTGCCTCTTAATTCACTATGGATTTATACATAGTTTTTGGCCTGGAAAATTGTGTTTGAAAGATTACTCTAGAATTTTAATTGACAGTTCCATGGTATGAGCAATTGATGTTAACTTGGCATCTGACAGAGGTGGTTCTCTCTACCTTTTACATTGGGCTAACTTGCAGATGGGTAGCTCAAGTGTCTATCTTTATTAGGGGAAACATAATCAGTTATACTCACATGACAGAACCAATTCACTTAACGTCATGCTGGGGATTAAGAACAGTAAATACTTTGGACATTTAGAGTTCTTCCTGGTCCTGGAAGCTGCAAGGCAGGACTGAAGAGTGATATAATGAGCTGGCTTGAATAGCTTTAGAGGTAAAGATGTTTGCTTCTGGTGAAAGAAGGATGGGTCAAGCGAAGCCCAAAGAGCAGGGGAAATGTTCTATAATTGGGGGTTCTTCTGTTTAATGGTGTATTTGTTAAAAGAAAATTATTTTATTCATCTAAAAATGAAGAAGAAGATAGTTCTGTATCCCTAATAAAAGTGGCATGTGTTGGCCACAGTTCTGTACAGATTAAATTTTTTTAACATCTTGAGCCAGGTTAAAAAGAAACAGCCCTGGTTGGTCCTGTCTGGGGCTAGGAAAAATCTCAAGTGTATGCTCATCCTGTCTGAGAAATTAATATCAGAGTCATGAAAAGCAAAGCTTCCATGTATACTAAATGTATATATTGAAAAGGTAATAAGGTCTTTTTGAGGCACTTTGGTTATGCATTGTATTTGCCAGAATAACACATATAAACAAATTCATTGAGTAGATAGTACATATATGGCCTTTTGAAATGACAGCACAAACCTTTTTGAATTTACTTCTCTCACAATACGAATGTTGGAATCAGTAATCCTGTTAAGTTTAATAGCCTCTGTTGCTTCTCAAATATTTATTAAGAACTGGCAGCATTTCCTACCAAAATGTCCAGCGGGTGCAATAGAATGCACCAGCCAACTAACCATGGGCATTTATAGATGTAGAGTATCGAGTATGATGTCCAACAGCAGGAAAGTTCAATGCTGGCACTTTGTAGTGACAATTAGTACCTAATAGTAACAGTCTATTAAGAACAATGAAACTAACACCTCTAAGAGTGCACAAGAGTGCAGAGACACATCACAGAAAACTTTCATTTTAACACTAAAGGAAAATTCATTGAAAAGACCTATATTCCTGAATATGTGTATTCATATTCTAAATATCACAGGTGATAGTTTTGAGAAGACTATTAAAGTATTTAGGTTGAGGGGCACCTGGGTGGCTCAGTTGCTAGGCATCTGCCTTCGGCTCAGGTCATGATCCCATGATCAAGCCCCGCATCCATCTCCCTGCTCAGCGGGAAGCCTGCTTCTCCTTCTCCCTCTGCTCTTCCCCCTGCTTGTGTTCCCTCTCTCGCTGTCTGTCTGTCTCTCTCTCTGTCAAGTAAATAAATAAAATCTTTGGAAAAAAAAATATTTAGGTTGAAGTCCTACAGTCACACAGTAGAACTTTGCGGATGGAGTCAAAGACAAAACAGTTTAAAAAAAAATGATAGCAAAAGATTGGAAATTGATGACTTTGAATTTTAATACTGGCTCTACTTCTGGGCAACTTTGAGTAACTCAATTAACTTTGCTGTGCCTGTTTTCTCATCTGTAATATAAAATTATAAAACTGTCTTCCAGAAGTGTTTAGTGTGGATTAAATTATCCCAGGAGGGAGAGCTAAATATTTAATTCCAATTTACAATGTTAACAAATCCCCATGTATCCAAATTGGAGTCAATTTTATTTACTCATTATCATCATATAATTATGTATAACAGACATTCGGTATTTAATGTCATCCTCCTTGAGGATAGGGGGTGTTCATCTCTATACCCTTTCCAGTTTTTTCCAGATAAAAAATGTTTCACATACTCATTGAACAAATACTTGTTGAGCACCATTTCTGTGCAAGGCACTCACCGTACTGAGCACTAGGGATACAAAAGCAAGCTGCTTCTACTGATGCCTTCCTGCCCTGGGAAAGTATCTGTTATATAATAATAATATATTTAAAAATGATATTTTTAAGTCACGTACAAGTCACTGTGGGAACATAAAATAAGAACACCTGCCTTGGTGGAGATATAGGGTAGGTTGGGTGGAAGTGTAGGAGGTTGAAGGTGGTGGGTAGGGTGAGATGGAGTAGAGCGGCAAATCAAGTAGATTTCCCAAAGGAAGCCAATATTTAAATGATAACCAGGAGTTAGCCCTGGCAAGTTTGGAGTAATGATAAGTTGTAGGCAGTGTGAAGGAGATGGGAAGACCTAAGGTAAAAGAACATCAGTTTCCTGTTTGAGGAAGTGGAAGAAGCTTGGTATGGTGGAATGTAGCATTGAGAGAGGAGAGGCAAGACAGGAGTGTTTGTAAGGTAAACAGAGGACCTCGTAAAGGAGTTAAGGATTTTACCCTTAGTATATGGGAAACCAGTTAAGAGTTTGAAGCAAGAGAACAATATGATCAAATCTTCATTTTTTTTTTTTAAGATTCTATTTTTTTATTTGAGAGAGGTGGTGGGGAGGGGCAGAGGGAGAGGGAGAAGCAGACTCTCCACTGAGCAGGGAGCCTGACACAGCAGCTTAACTGACTGAGCCACCGAGGTGCCCCTCACATCTTCATTATTTTAATAGGTAACTAACTGGCTATAAAGTCCAAAATAACTGGGAACAGGTAAGATTGAAACCAGAGACCATTTAAGCTGACGTTTATGGGAATCTTGACAAGAGATGATAGTGGCCTGGATTGGGTGGTAGCGAGAGCATGAAGAGGAGTGGGTGGTTTCTTAATGTATTTTAAAATCTAAAATTCCATGAAACTTTTGAGATTGGTTGTTAGAAGGTAAATAGGAAGAGGTTAAGAGTGACTCCTGGGTTTCTTGATTGGGCCACTTCATGGATGGCTGTGCTAATCAGTGAGAGAAAGAGAAGTTGATTAGTTCAATTTTTGATATTTTCAGTTTGGGTGCCTTGAAACATCCAGGTGGTGTGTCAAGAGGGGGTTCACACATGAGTCTAGAGCTCAGAAGGTGTGTGAATTGGACATGCAGATTTTGTTGTCAGCAGATTGGTCTCCATATTATATAGATGATACTAAAAGTCATAGGAGTGGGACACCTGGCTGACTCAGTAGGTGGAGAGTGCAACTCTCGATCTTGAGGTCGTGAGCTCAAGCCCCATGTTGGATGTAGAGCTTACTTTAAAAAAAAAAAAAAAAGTTGTAGGAGCAATGAGGATCCCCCAGGGAAAGTATGTAGAATAAAGAGATGAAAAGTTAGGCCAGTACCATAGGGAACGCTCACACTCAAGTTTCAAGCTAAGGACGGAAATCCTGCAAAGCCGTGTAAGACATAGAGAAAATAATGTCAGGAAGGCAGAGTATCATGAAGCGTGGCAAAGCATATTTCAAGGGAAAAATAATAAAACTGAGTAAATAAACCCTTGAATCCCCCTAGCTAAGGGGCTTCGGTTTTAAAATTAAAATTTACCATATAATAAGTGGTAATTTCCTATCATACCTATGCAGCCACTCTCATCTTTCACATTCCCAAAGATCACAGCACATCACCATAATGGGTACTCAGTAAATTTTTGTTGATCAAATAAACACATGAATACCACCTACTGGACTCTGATTTAGCACCTATTTCTGGTCTTCATAAGGTCTACGCATTAAAAAACAGCAACCATCCCTGTCCTAGAGTTCATTTTCTGTTAAAAATTTTTGGTGGGGAGGGCTCCTAAGTTCTAGTATTCCTGTGTATACACACACATACACACACACACACACTCTTTCACTCCCCCTCCTTTTCTCTATCCTGCTGTGTTCCCCCTCCTTCTTTGAATGTAGTATTGAACCAAAAGGTCAATAAGTGAGTAATTTGGCATGAGTTGTAGTAATAAGTGAAAAAGGAAAAGGATATTATGGTGAGGGAGGCAGGCAGCAGCGGGGAGAGTATTTTCAATCTTAAGAGGAATCACAAACAATGGAGACAAACATACTTGACAGTGATTTCTATAATACAGTTGGTCATTACCAAAATTCTTCACTGGAGCTTAATATTGTCTGGCTGGGGTGTGTTTGTGTGTGTGTGTGTGTGTGTGTGTGTATGACATTCATTTGCAGTTACACTGCGTGCTGTTCTTCATAAAAACAGTGTTATCTTTGACTCTCAATGTGTGGTAGGGTACCAGAGTCCTATTGGCATATGGGTTTGAGGTACATTGAAACAAGCAAATCCCTTCTTTAATCCGCTCTGAGATCAGGTGCTGAAACATTTTAAATAGACACAAAGGGTAATCCATTTTCCTCATTTTAGTTGAAAAGTATTTCAATGACTGTCACCTTCCTTGTGATGAGTGGTAATGGTAGGTGCCGCTATTGCTTTTTGTTTTCGTTTTCTGAAGCGCCAACCTACCTGGTTCACCTTTCATCGATTTCTTGCTTTGTGAACCCTGGAGTGCAAATCACACCAGAAGAGTATCA